CCCCCACCCTCCCCCCGTAACAAAATAGAAACACAACAACGAGAACAAAAAATAAAATAAAAACACGCCTAACCTTTGCCTCAATCGCTAATCAGCAGTCGGACAGAACGAACATTCGTCTCTGTCGTAGAGGAAAAATTATTGTGCAAAAATGGTCTCGGTTGCACTTTCACTTGGGCTCGTTTGATTCGGCCACGGGAACGCCGCCGGCAGGTAGGCAACCTAACGCACGACGAGGTCCGCCTCGACCTTAGGCCTCCCAACCAACCCCGGCGCCTGTGCGGTAGGCAGCCCATCGCACTGCCAGCGCCTACTCCCGCCGGCTGGCGCCGCCGCGGCGGCACGCAGCCCAACGGGCCTCTCCGGAGCAGGAGCGAGCCGGAGGCCGCCGCGGGGGTAGGCAGCCCACCGCGCTCGCGGAGGGAAGGCCCACCGGCCGCCCGCCACCTGTGACGGCGCGCGGGCGCGCGGGGCGGTGCCGGACCCCAACAGCACCCACCGCGCTGCTCTACCTCGTTGGCCTCTGTCTCGAGCTCCAGCGGCGTGAGCCTGGGCGGGCGCGGCGCACTCTGCGTGCGAGCGTCATAGGTAGGTGTCGTGCGCCGCGGTGGGCCGCACCGACTGCTGGGTGGGGCCCCGCGGGCCCCGCCGTGCCGTCCTCCTCTGGTCGTGCCGCACCGCGACCGACGCGCCTCCATTGTTCACTCTCTCTCTCTCTCTCTCTCTCTCTCTCTCTCTCTCTCTCTCTCTCTCTCTCTCACACACACATGCACGCGCAGTCGTACATTGTAACGCCATCCTCTTGACTCCCCTCTGACGTCGGCGCGTCGTCTCGTTTTGCGTTTTCCTCGCATCGCTGCTGCCACTGCGCTGCCGCGGGTGTCGCTGCCGCCGCGCGCTGGTAGTCAGGGTGTAAGGCCCTCGGGAAGGCCCGGTTAGCCTGCGCTGCCGGCGCGCGTGGCGCGCGGGGGGCCCTGCTTCACGGTCTCCTCGAGCTGCCCCGGGCCGGGCCGGCCGGGCGCGCCGCCGGTGAGTAACGTTATTGGCTGGGCGAGTTTGCCGGGGCCGCAGTCGATAAAGCCGTGTTGGGCGGCGACAGGACAGCAGCCGTGATCCTGGCACTGATTGGGCCACCTAACCTCTCGGCCCCGCGCCACCGCGCCACGCCCAGTCTGGCCAGCTCCCTCCAGTACAGTACAGCACGGGCGGCGGCGGGGGACCAGCGGGGACCGACGGGACAGGTTGCGGTCAGATCGAGAGGAAAAGTTAGTCGCTGTCACTCACTCACTCACTGACTGAGCCGCGGTGGCGGCGGTGGCGGCGGCGGGCCACTCGGGCCACACCCACCGCGCGCCTGGCCGGCGCGGTACGGCCGCCGTGCCAAAGCCGTGGCGAGCCGATTACAGGCAATGTAAGACACACTCGGCCGATCGCTGCCTACCCACGCCGACACGGCCGGAGTCTGCAGTGCGTTCGTTCGGTTGGAACTACCCTCGCAGGAGTTTTGTGTCTTCCGTCATATGCAGAGCGGTCGTTTCTGGGCGTTTTCTGTGTCGGATTGGTTTCGTTCAGGGGCGTCGACAGGACGACTTTTCAGGGGGGGGCAAACGGTTCGAAGCTATGAAAGTTGCCTACCTACTAGGGGCTGTTATCTTATTTAATTTTCATTATTTATAATTTGGATATTGAATTAACACTGAATCGACCGCAAATAACAAGAAGATTGGAAAGGCAGTCAGCTTCGTGTGCAACGAAGCACCAACCAAACTTTTGTAATGTTGGATACGGTTGCCTCGCTAGCCAAAGAGGACATATGTAACTGCAAAATTCGCGAGCGAAGCGAGCCAAAAGAAATTTTCATTTAAACTCTGAATTTTACGTTAGTTATTGAGAGGAGTGGGTCGATCTAATGTATCAATTATATTGATAGGGAATTGGAGCATTCCTTGTGTATGCAACCTTGAAGTCAGTCCAGTCTGAGCTAAAGGTAGGAAAAGCATAACATGTTCAACTCGCGAGCGAAGCGAGCGAGAAGCCAGAGCTGAACTATTATATTTGACACCTCAGGATCGATTTTAGAAGGGTTTTTAACGTTGTATTTACTAATTTCTTTCTTTTAATATTGTCTATCGTTGCCCCCCCCCTGCCCCCCCCTGGCCAAAATTTGGGGGGGGGGCATTGCCCCCCCTGCCCCCCCCGGTGTCGACGCCCCTGGTTTCGTTGGTTTGCATACTCGCTCTGGGCGCGGGGGGCCAATTGCCTCTCATGGGCGCGGAATCCGCAAACACTGTTGCACGGCGTGTGCAAAGAAAAGTACGCTGCATCGCACGTTTCCATTGCATTGTGTTAAAACCAGTCGTGATTAGTCTGATTCGTAAAGAACAGATGACACTTTTTCAGACGCCGTGGAGCTCCCTGCCCCCCCCCTTTCCCCCTTTTTTTCGGATACCGGACTCTCCCGCCCGACTCCATCCGTGTGTCTAGTTTTCTCGCTGGACTTCCCCTCTCCTCTCGATGCAGCCGAAGCCGAGTCCCTCTCCAAGTCTCGTCCATCTCGAACCGGGTTTCGGCTTTTGGTTTGAAATCAGAGCAGCCGAGCTTTGGCCTGCGCAGCCCCGCAGCAGCCCCGCGTTGTATCGAAATGTGCTGCCTTAATCGGAGCCCCTCCAGCAGGCCCGCCCGACCCGGTGCAGACGGCGTATCGCGTCCGATCGGCCCGCGTCATACCAATGCGTACTTGTGCCCCACTTGTGCCAGCAGCTGCAGGGCTGCTTATTTTTCATCTATTGTAAATTATTCAAGGAGATTCGTGTCTCGATAGCGACGCTGCGCCACCGACTTTTCATGTTCTTTTTGCGAGACAGGCCTTTACAGGCTTACACACTCCGAGGCGGCGGCGGTGGTGGCGGCTGCGGGGAGGGAGGGGCGGAGGGACGGCGTGCTCGGCACGGACTGCGGTTGTTGGCACGGGGGCGAGGACCTCGGCGAGGACCTCGCAGAGCACTACCTTGGCCAGCTGTTGGCGGCGAGGGCGGACTCGGGTGACATCGGCCAGGACGCGGCGACGGCCGCGGGGACCGCAATGTCATCGGACACCGACTTCGGCCTCGACCAGATCGAGCGTGGCGTGGCGTGGTGTGGTGTGGTGTGGAGGGGTAGGGCTGGACAGGTGACCACCACCCCACCGCGCCGCGGCACACCGGCCGGGCCAGCTGGTCGGGGCAGAGGGCGGTGAGTGGCGCGGCGCGCAGCGCAGCGGCCCGCCGAGCTGCCATGCCCCCCC